GGATACAGAGAACAGTGATGGGTACAAGATAGGACTAAACAAAGATTAGTCATACACAGGTTTTAACTGCTGAGAACTTGGTGTTATTGATGTACCAAAATAAACAGCAAAGAAACCAAAGGGACAAGACTCCTGTAGCATCCCATTTCTTTAAAAAGCATGCGTTTATGAAGCATTATCATTCTGCAGATTAATCTGACCAGATAATGTTAAGGATATAAATCTGTCATAATAAAATACAATGGTTTATAACATTATAATTCAAGCAAACAAAATGCATTCAAGTGTTGAAAATGTGGTTTTGGGGTTATTTCTGTTTACTTGGCCCCCACTTTATTGAAAATTTGATTGAATTCTGAATAGTCATCAGGTTCTTGGAGGAATATTATAATTTTATCGGTCAACATTAAGTAAAGAGCCAGTGTGCAGACTACGTAATCAACAGGAACTCTTAATAGTAAAACTATGTAGTTTGATACAGTGGAATTAAAACTCTAATAGTAAAACTATGTAGTTTGATACAGTGAATTCCCCCTGCTGCAGTTTAATGCTATGGCTGGCCACCAAGTCCTGTAGAGAGATCATAATTTCTAAATGTTTTACCTATAAAGTGTTGGATGGACTTACTGTCAACAAGAAATATCCATCCCATGTTATTCATTTATAAAGCTCTACTGTTCTAAAGCTTCCAAACTACCTTCCATCTCTACTGTCATTATAACGATCCAGTAACTACCTAACCTTCCACCTCGTTAGCACTAATAATGCCACATCTGGTTTCTTGTCCTTATAAACTATATAAACAGTTTCAAACTAAATGGTAAGCCTGAAATGATATCAGACCTGATCAAATGAATTTGTATTTCACAATATATATCCATCATTATTTCTTCCAGACATTGATCTGAGTACTGTAGATAGCCTGTAGCTGTTCCCTACCTTTTATTAGTCTGAACCATGCAACGTAACTTGAAATCTGTAACATTCAAATAAATAAATAACAATGGGGTGACGAAGTACTTCTTTATTTCTTTTTTTCCTTTTTTAAAACACATAATACCAAACATACAGAAACACTTGGACAATACATACCTAAAATAAAACATGACACATATGAATATAAAATGAATAACTCATGGAGACATAAAAAAACTAGATAGTAATTCAAACTTTAGGCATAGATAAGAAACAAAATGAACTCACGAAGAGAAAGAAATTAAAATTAAAACAAAAAAACAAAACAAAACATAAATCAAAACAGCTAAAATAAATATATCAGAAAATATTAGATAGTCATTGACAATAATATATGGTTTAGTTCGCACACTGGTTGTTTCCAACCTTTTATTATTCTGCCACATAAAACTTAAATCTGAAACATTCAAATACAATAATAACAATGGGGTGACAAAGTTCTTCTTTCTTTCTTTTTTTTTTAAACACACAATACCAAACATACAGGAACACTTGGACAATATATACTTAAAATACAACATTAAACAAAGAAAAAATAGGGGGATTTATAAGATAAATAAAAAACTAGATATTAATTAAAGTTTCAGGCATAAATACGAAACAAAATAAACTCATGAGGAGAAAGAAATTAAAAAACAAAACAAAACATAAATCAAAACAGCAAAAATAAATAGTGAAAGGTCCCCATAGATCTTCAGTGCTATTTAGCTGGTTAAGGAAAACACATACACCTTCACTCTCTCTACACTGCACTAAGCCAGTGGTTCACAGGATTAATAATTAAATTAATATTTAATAATAATAACAATTAATAAGACTTTTCAGGCTTTTTTTGTGATAGTTGTGACCTGAAACTTCTTTCAAATTGCACGTTGAGATGTTTTTACAATAAAATTGCAAGAGAAAGTGAAATAATTAATTAAAAACTGAACTTGCAACAAATATATCCGATAATATACCCCCGAAAGCCATGACATAGTCCAAACCTTTGAATATCCTGCCACATAAAACCACACAACTTAACTTGAAGTCTGAGCTGCGTTAATGAATGTTTTATTTTGAATTTTTTTGAACTGGAAATGCTTTTCCTTGTTGTATATAACTTGACACTAGTGTAACTCACTGAATGGAGTTTGCACACTGTGGCAGAGCAATGGCAGAGAAAGTAATGCCTGGGGATTAAAGTCATACACCTAAAGTGTTCATTGTTACTAAATGTCTTTTAAATAAAATCACTTTTTTTGCAGAAACAAGAAACAGCCTTTGTGTTAGATGCTTCAACCAGGAAGCAAATTGAGGAAAAAGCAGTAGAAAACACTCGTGCACCATCAATTAAAGCATATATACAGTTTTATCTGTGCTGTATCCGGTGCCATGTTTCAGCATTAAATGTGGACAGTGATAAATAAAACAATAACATTTTATTTTTGGCTTTTGTGTGTCAGTGAAGGAATTGTAGTTTAAGCACAAACAGCTGTTTCTGTCGCCCTCTAACGAAAAGCATTGAGTCTACATTAAAGGTCCAATGGTCTGCTCATATGTAGCAGTCTTGTCTTTGTTATAGTTGCTAAAGAATCTTTGTTATATTCTTTGCATTTTAATGTAAAATACAGTGAAAAAAGGTGGATATTTAAATTAAACACCTTTTTAATCTGGCTTTTACTTTGGAGTAATGCCTTAGTTTTTTATTATTTGTCTCCCTGGTTTTTATTTTTATATCTACTTATTTTTTAAAACATTTTATTGTTTTTATTGTATTTGTTTTAGCCTTGCACACTTTTTATTTTCTGGTTTTATATGTGATTGTGTTTGTATGAAAGGTATAAACAAAGTTGAGTCGAGAAAAAACAAAATAAAAAAATTCTACTATGTTGACTGGAAATGTTTGAATTCGGGAAGTAGTTAAATAATCTAAAACAATTAAATGATAAAAGTTAAAAAAAATCATCTAAAACCTTTAAAAAACGTTAGCGACTACAAAATATGGCGAAAAGACTACAACAAATCCCAGAATGCTTTTCGCTCCGCCTGCGTTCCACTCTAAAATAACGTCCGCGGGCGGAACGTTAGTGACCGTTATGAAGCAGCTCTCTGTTTGTCACTCGCTACCAAAAACCCTTCATTAAATCCTCCTTTTAAACGATGAATAAAATATATCTGTATTTATATTTGTTTGTGTATTTTTTTTTTTATCATGTATCATCTTCGCGCCAACCGAGAGCTGAACCGACTTTACCGGGCGGGTCACGGACTGTTGACGGTGTAACACCCAGACATTAAGAAAGAAGCAGCAGCAGACATTTCTCTCTCTCTCTTCTCCTCTTTCTCCGTTAAATTTAGCTTTTATTTTCAATTCCCCGCTGAAATAAATCACATTTTTAATCCGTCAATGAGTCGCAGAGGAGACAGCGACGATGACAGCTGCAGTAAACGGAGAGTGGCGTACGTGTACAGCCCGGAATACATCGAGACCTGCGACTCTTTATCCAAAGTACCGAACCGGGTGAGTTCACACTGAAGGAGCAGCCTCTTTAAAAAGCTTAAATTAGTCTATTTGTTTGCTTTTTGTTTGTTGTTGTTGTTATTTATCCTCTCTTTTTTGTGTATTTTCCAGGCGAGTATGGTCCACTCACTGATAGAAGCCTATGGACTCCTTAAACACATGAGGTGAGTTGATGTTTATTGATGTTTATTGATGTTTATTCATGTTTATTCGTGTTAAATAGAGATAATGCATTATAAGCAGAGAGGAATAGCTTCACATGCAGTGCAGGAGCTGTGTGTTCAGCTGCCTGCAGTGTCTCCTTTGTACACTGTGATGTACAGTTTAATATTATTTAACAAATAGACTGGAAATGGGTCCAAAACTGCAGTAAATTGTGGTTAAATCACCGGAGTTGCTGCAGAAACATCAGCTGTGGGAACAGTGGAGAGAAAGGTAACGAAAAGAGTCACATAAATACTAATCACATACCTGCAATGGACCCTGAGACACTTCAAATTGGGGGGGAAAAGTGTAAAAACTGGAACATTATGGCTTAAAAAGTGAGATTTAATTCATACTTTTAAACTACTTGCATGTGTTTTGAAGAAACCTGCGCTCAGATAGTGAATCGCTGTGTTGCAGTGTCTTAAAACCCAGTGTTTTGTATCGTACAGCCTATGTTTAATGTGTATTTTAATGGTCGTGTTGCACTGTGTATGTTCCTATTCAAAGATATTTCAGTTAATTTAAGATTGGTTGGTTTTGATTCTCACTTCCGGCTCAATAAGATGCTGTTTCTCTTCGATTTGATGCCGTTTTTGATTTAATTGTATTCGATTAATCCATAAAAACAAGGGCTGCACGATGTGGTTAAAACAAAATACAGGAATTACAAAGAAGATAAACTTTATATTTGGGGGAAATCTTTTTACACACACAGCCAGAAATACAGTTTTTTTTGTGTCACAGGTTTTATTGTCACTGAAAAAATATAAATACTAAATATAATATTACATTTAAATACTATATTTGTATTATTTACGCAGCCTTACATAAACCGCGTTGCTTTGCACCTTCCATCCGCTTTATATGGAAGGATGAAGGTGGTATTTTCCGCCCCTCTCAGTTTCCACTCCCCGTGAATCAAAGTATTTCGCCTGTTGATTTATTTCAGTTTCGCACAGCAGGTTTTGTGCATTTGGCATTTTCTTTTACTGCTCGCTGCGCGGCGCCAATATTTCACACTCGCTCGTTCCTGATCCAAAAGTTGTCTCATCGACTCCCATGAATCATCTGTACGGGTTTTATCCACGTACGCAAGTTTTATTTGACGGCTCAACAAGTACAACACGTTTTTTGTTTCCTTTTTTCCTCTTTGTGTGCAGCGCCATAAAACCTCAGCTGGCCACCATAGAGGAAATGGCCAAGTTCCACACAGACTCTTACCTGGAGCATCTTCACAAGATCAGCCAGGACGGAGACAACGACGACCCCCAGTCAGTCGACTACGGCCTGGGTGAGGAGAGCCAAGAAAAAACCTGAGATAATGTAATCACGTTTGTCGCTGTCGATGTTCCAATCTTCCTATTTTAACACGAAGTGCGGAAGAATTCAGGTTGCAACAGAACAGGGACGTTCATTGACACGTTTATTGTCTCAGAATCACGGTGGGTGATCTTTCTTGTTCACT